GCAACTAACATAAAACGTACACAAGATTTTAGTAAGGATATCACTGTATTTATTCTCATTCAGGAAATTTTTCTATAACTTCAACATTTTCCTCTCAAAACATAAGGACAAAAGAGTCCCAAATCTTAGAACTGGATCACTTGGCCCTTTCTCTTCTTATCTCCTCCGAGTTCAAAATGCTTGCATCTCTTAATGGCCAGCATCCTCTTGGATCTGCAGTTGGGCTCAACACATTCAAGTCTCAGCACGATCTTCTTTGTGGTTTTCGCCTTCTTCCGGAAAATTGGCTTGGTTTGCCCACCATAGCCACTCTGCTTCCGATCATAGCGCCTCTTTCCCTGGGCATACAGGGAATCTTTGCCCTTCTTATACTGGGTCACTTTGTGCGGCTGATGCTTTCCACACTTCTTACAGAAAGTCCTTCGGGTTTTAGGGACATTGACCATCTTTGCAGTAGAGGTGTCTTCTGGGTGCAAACTGTTGTAAAACCCGACAGCAAACGTTAGAACACTTGAAACAGCAACGTTAAATCCACCAAGTACTCATTTTCCGTATGAGTAAGTGCACAACTTTTCGGAATGCTTAGATTTACACAATGAGACTCACTGAAAAACACCAAGAGCAGCACCATAGGGACGCCCAGTCCGCGTACAAAGTGGCATCCTTTGGGGCTTAATTTACCGTGGCTGCCCAACAACTAAAGCGTAGCGGTTTGATACCTTATTTTCTCCGGCCGAGAGAGGGCCGAGGCTGGAGTTTATTTTCGACTCTCAGCGCACCCTTTCCCTCCATGTTCTAGCTCCCAGGCATGCCTGGCTCGGACGCGGTGTAGAGCCACCGCCACGGCCCGCCCAGTCCCTCCGAGGACAGCATCTGCCTAGTTTCACTTTTGCCTTCAAAGCACCGTCACCCATAAAAGCCCTGAAGGCTGACGTGTCCTTAATGAGTACCTCGAGGCCGAGGAGCCGCCATGCGAGGGCCCTTTCCGGAAGGGAAGAGTGAATTCTGGAAAGCCACTACCCAAGGCGGCGGGCCTCGCCCTCCCTCTCCTACCAGGGCTCACCAGGCCCGGCCCGGCCCGGCCCAGCCTCGAATCCTGGGCACTGGAGGCTCCGCCGTGACCGCCACCACCCAAAACCCGGCTTACCGAGAGACCCGCCGTCCACGTTCCTGCCTCGCTCTGCTCGCGCCTCACAGGAAAGGGAGGGACGTGGCGGAAGTAGGAACTGGGCCTGAGCGGCAGTGCTGCGGACCAATAGGTGGCGGGCAGCGACGGCCGGGCGTCTCCGGACGTGTCCGGGAAGCGCCAACCGACGGCCAGGGGCGGGCCTGAGGGGTGTGGGTCCCGGGGCCGCGGCGCTCGGCGGGCTAGTCGCTGGTTGTCAGGACAGTCGCCGCCGGAGTGAGGCGAGGCGAGGCTGTGTCTCTCGTTCCGGGATGTCCGGGGCCGCGTAGAGATGAGAGCGCGAAGGACGCAGGGCCGCTGGAGGCGCAGGTAACGGAGCCGAGGTACAGCGGGGCCGCGTCGGGCTTCTTCCCGGGCCGGTGCTGAATGGAGAGGACCGAAGCGACGCCGTGCCGCGGCTCCTAGCGGCGGGGCCGCTGCCCGAGCTGCAGTTGCCAGGTGAAGATGTGTGGAACCGGGGCGGCGCGGGGGAGCTGAAAACCTGCGGGTCCCCGGACCCCCGGGGCCCGGGATGAGTTAGCGAGGGCAGCCGCGGGGGCCAGTTCCGACTGCTGCAGGCCACCGCCACGGTCGCCGCCCGCCCGCCCCTTCCCCGCCGGAGCCGCTAGCTCCTATCCGCGCCCGCCTGCCCGCGGTCCCGGCCCCGGAGACCATGAGGTTCCGCATCTATAAGCGGAAGGTGCTGATCTTGACGCTCGTGGTGGCCGCCTGCGGCTTCGTCCTCTGGAGCAGCAATGGGCGACAAAGGAAGAACGAGGCCCTCGCCCCGCCGCTGCTGGACGCCGATCCCGCGCGGGGTGCAGGCGCCCGGGCCGGGGACCATCCCGCCGTGTCGGTGGGCATCCGCCAGGGCTCCAACGAGTCGGCGGCTCCGCTGGTCGCCGCGGCCCCGCAGCCCGAGGTGGACAATCTGACGCTGCGGTACCGGTCCCTAGTGTACCAGCTGAACTTTGACCAGACGCTGAGGAATGTAGATAAGGCCGGCTCCTGGACCCCCCGAGAGCTGGCGCTGGTGGTCCAGGTGCACAACCGGCCCGAATACCTCAAACTGCTGCTGGACTCACTTCGAAAAGCCCAGGGAATCGACGACGTCCTCGTCATCTTTAGCCATGACTTCTGGTCGACCGAAATCAATCAGCTGATTGCTGGGGTGGATTTCTGTCCAGTTCTGCAGGTGTTCTTTCCTTTCAGCATTCAGTTATACCCTAACGAGTTCCCGGGCACTGACCCTCGAGATTGCCCCAGAGACGTGGAGAAGAATGCAGCTTTGCGGATGGGATGCATTAATGCTGAATATCCCGACTCCTTCGGCCATTATAGAGAGGCCAAGTTCTCCCAAACCAAACACCACTGGTGGTGGAAGCTGCATTTTGTATGGGAGAGGGTCAAAGTCCTTCGAGACTATGCTGGCCTCATACTTTTCCTAGAGGAGGATCACTATTTAGCCCCCGACTTCTACCATGTTTTCAAAAAAATGTGGAAATTAAAGCAGCTAGAGTGCCCCGAGTGTGATGTTCTCTCCCTGGGGACCTATACTGCCATTCGAAATTTCTATGACGTGGCTGACAAGGTAGATGTGAAAACGTGGAAATCCACAGAGCACAATATGGGTCTGGCCCTGACCCGGGAAGCCTATCAGAAGCTGATTGAGTGCACAGACACTTTCTGTACTTACGATGATTATAACTGGGACTGGACCCTTCAATATTTGACGGTATCTTGTCTTCCAAAATTCTGGAAAGTGCTGGTTCCTCAAGTTCCTAGGATTTTTCATGCTGGAGACTGTGGTATGCATCACCAAAAAACTTGTAGACCAGCCACCCAGAGTGCCCAACTTGAGTCACTCTTAAATAATAACAAACAGTACCTGTTTCCAGAAACTCTAACTATCAGTGAGAAGTTTATGACAGCCCTTTCCCCACCTAGGAAAAATGGAGGGTGGGGAGATATTAGGGACCATGAACTCTGTAAAAGTTATAGAAGACTGCAGTAAAAAAAAAAAAAAAAAATCAGAATTATAAAAGCAAAAGTAGTAACAGTCTTCTATTTTTGATATTTGTTCAAATAGGATATACAATTGAATAAAAAGGTTTAGGAACTGGTTTCTGCTTTAATACAACAACAAAATTCTTGTAAAAGTTGTCCAAATATAGTCATCTTTTCCGTTTATGTCTGATTAAGATTTAAAACGCAAGTTTTCATTTTGAGAATTGCGTTTTAAAGTTCAGTGTGTATCTGCTAGAGGTAAAATCATCGTTAATTGATAAGAGAGAAGAGGGGAAACTTTAAATTGCATCTATTAATCTTTTTATCTGGAACTTTGTACACTTTTCCACTTTCAAGACTTATTTTAAGTACAGCAAAATTTATTTAAAATTGTCATATCAGTAAAAAGTATTACAGTGAAATTAAGAGTATTAATGTACAAGCCCAGCTTCGCTCTTGACACAGTAACTAGGAAGAGGTTGCTTCAGTGGTTTTATAATTAGAAAGTTATGTTTGTTAAACACCCTGTCAGAACAGAGTCATTTTCAGTATTAAAGATTCCTGTATTATTGTGTTAAGAATTGCCTGTGCTCTGGAACCTGCATAGAACATACTTTCTTTTGGAATGTATTCTGACTGATAAGAAAGTTTAAACACTTTTCACCTCAATGTAGAAATACAGTGATTTTTTTTTTCTTTTAGTGCTGCCAAAATAAAATACTTGTTTTTGCATTAAAAGGTTCCTAATCATTTTTCAGAATAATTTTACATCAAAGTCCACTAAAGACACTTGAAGATTTAAAACTAGCATTACATCTTATTTGTACATTGTATAAATAAGTTTGAAATAAAATCCAGCTCTTGACATTGCATTCCCTTTGGAGGAAACTGGCTTTCAAGTTAGCCTCACAGAGATAATGAGCAATAAAAAGCTGCTGTGTAAGTGAAATACAGCCAGAAATGAAACAAAGTTCAGTCCTGCCAAAGTGAAACATGTTCTAGAGCCAGCTTTATTTGATCAGAAATTGTACTTTTAAATTTAAAACAACAAAGTAAATAAGAAACAGGCTTAAAATTTATTCCATACTTAAAAGTTTCCCTTAACATACATAATTGCATTCAACCAAAAGTATACTCATAGACTAATTTCTGTGTTGATACTGCAAATAGTCATTTCAACCTAAAGATTGTGTACCTAATGGACAGTCTCAAAATTATTACTGAATCAAGAGATTCCTGTCATGGTTGAAAAATGTATATGGTCATCTATAATGGTGCAAATAGTTCTGTTTTATGAGTTCCTTTATACTGCATATCAGGATGAACTGCCAGGTGTTGTTCCAGCTTTTGGTGCTCTGACCTGACCTCCCTAGTTCAAAAAGACTAAAGAAATTAGGTAGTTTCCTGGACTAATATAAGGCCAGAGGTTTGAGTTAGTAGCTGACTTTGAAACAGAACTCATGGTCTTGGGGTCAGCAATTAGATCAACAAATATTTTCCTTTCTATACTGTCTTTCGTGTTGTCTGTCCTAAAACTTTTTGTGAGAGCAAAAAGAAACTACCGGGATTTTCTCCTGGCCTTATATAAAATATTCCACAACTCATAACTTAGCAACTATTAGAAACATCTGCTGCCCTCTTTTAGGTATTATAAAAGAAACTGATTAGGAAACACTAGCTTTTGTTGTCTTCATGTAATAACATAGGAAGACAATTTTCCTATTGGAGTAAATTCTCAGATTTTCTTAAATTGTCTTGTTCTAAAACTTGTAAACTAATTTTATAAAACCAAGGAATATTTTACTAATTTCCAAAAAATTATTTTAAATTTTGAGAGTTTTCAAAGTCGTTAGTAACTTTTATTTATATATATGTATACACCCACACAAAAATATGGTGACTTACATATGAGAAGAGTAAGATACAGAGTTGAAGCAGAAATAATAAATTTCAGTGTATTTGTATTGTTTGAATCATTTAATATTGGTTAATAAAGTTCTTTCAGAATCTCTATGACAAGCATAAATACTGAATAAATCCTATTTAGTGAGATTTATAAACACATAGTTTTGAGATTCTCCTTCCCCCAACACACACACTCTATTGTGTGTGCTTTTAGTTCATTGCATTCTTGAGAATTACTTTTTGTGACACAATATTTTGGAAACTTTATTAAAGTAATGGCAAACAAAAGAAACCAAAAACAAGACTATAAACAGGTTGTATTGACACTAAACATTTAACTCTCCATTAGAAAAAATATACAACAGTGGAATCACAAAATTTCCATAATTAAGGAAGCTTTGTATTGACATAAACTGTACACACACACACAAAATATTAGCTTCAGTTTCCCCATAAGAATAAAAATACAAATTTTAATTTTATACTTTTTTGAATACTTTTGGTTTTAAGATAGTAAACAATCTATGTCCAAAAGTTTTTACTCAGCCTTTAAATTAAAAAATGATACAGAATTAATCCAAGTCATAAAGCAAAGAATTCTGAAAACTGAATGAGCAGTGAGTCACATGATCTTTAATGATCTGCACACTACCATCCTGCATATTGGTTTCCTTTATGTGGTCAAAACCAGGTGTATTGTGAACTGCAGTTTTGTTCAGTAACGGAGATGAGTGATTTTCATTCAATTCTTTCTCTTCAGTTATTACTGGTTCTTTTAAGTTATCTTTTTCTTTATTTGCATAAACAGCACTTTTGTCTTTTATAAATTCACGTTCCTTTTCTGACTTAGGTTGCTGAGACTTTGCAAACAGCTTTTGAGAAACATCAAGAGCCCCTTGTTGCAAGCATGGGACTGAACCACAACTGTCTGCTTCTAGTACTGTGACTGCTATAGATGAATCAGAATCAGTTGTTGAAGTGGAAGCATGTTCTGTATTTTCTTTTTCTGTTAGAGGACTTGCTTCATGGACTTTTTCCTTTTCATGAAGCTGCTCAGAGTTACTGCATTCTTGCAACTATGTTAAGAGAAACAGCAAATTAATAATTCACTGAAACAAACAGAAAAGTAAATTGTACCCCTGGAAACTTCTTTAAGTTGTGAAGGAATAACCCAGTAGACTTGCAAATCTGCTTCCTGGCTTCCCCCTCAAGGTCAATTTCCAAATGCTGCCAGTCATTTTTTAACAATGCAAACCTGGCATTGATTCTCTAATTAAATCCTTTCACTGACTCTTCATCTTCTTCAGGATAAAACAATCCTGGCCTACAAATCTTTTAACATGGCCTATAAAGCCCATTAACAGTTATTTTTATAAGGGCACTCTTGGTTCACTGGTTAGGACTCCACCCTCACTTCCAAGGACCTGAGATCAATCCCTGATTAGGAAACTAAGATCCTTCAAGGCCTCCCAGCCAAAAAATTTTAAAAGGGCATTCTTGAATTTTCCTGTATTTCTGTGATTCTTCAGAACCTCTTTCTCAGCCAGTTCACACATATAAGTCAACTGTGCTAGTTACTAAATTATTTAAGCCTAATATCGAAGACTATAAAGATAATCAAACTTAAACTAGAAAGAATGAACAAACCATATATAACATATATAGTTCCTGTGGTTTGAGAGTCAAAAAGAGTTGTTAGTCCCTGGACTAATACTCACATTTCCCAAATGTTAGTTTCTATTTCCTCACTGGACAGTTATTTTGGAATTAAATGAGATAACATAAGTGAAAATGAATCACAGATGTTTAACAGTAAAATACACATCAAAAAAGGTCTGTATTCTTCTTAACATCACTCTTCCCAGACATTATGTGCATTTAAAGTTATGATATAAAAAATCAAGAATTAAGTGATTTGTCAGGCTTCAACCTTGCCCCAAATCACTACTTTATAAAGCCTACCCAAATCCTTACCTTTGCATGTATTTCAATCTTACTATCAGTAACCTGAAGAACTTCAATCAATGGTGGCGTCAGGGGTAATGTCTGTTTGAATGGAGGGCTCAGGACCTCTTCAAGAAACTCATTAACATTATCTTCATTGACAAATAACCTTTCCTAAAATAAAAAGAGAAAAAATATTCTACTTTATTGGTCATACTTGACAGAATTGTATCTAAAATCATCTCATAAAAATTCTCACACAATTCAGGTCTTCACTTTTAATATGTTTATTTCATGTTATTCCTATGCTGTTTTGGCCAAAGAAAACAGTATTGTACAGAGCAAAAATAGCAAGAGTACACACATATCTAGGAGAAGACCCTAAAATAAAAAGTCTTAGTTCCTTTTCTAGGTCTGTATAAATCTGAGGTATGCTTTCCCTCCAGATAATCCTACTTACAAATCATATCTTCCTTTTTTTTCCCCCCTCTCAATATTTTGTAAGAATAACATCACCTCTAGTTTTAAATGCAGTCCAAACTATAAAATATAATTCAATTTTAGAACACTTCCTAATGAGTCAGCTAAAGATAGACAAGACAGGATGCATTCAAATTCTGTGTGACCAATTTGCCTTTTAGTTCTTGGCTAGGTAAGAGCCAAGTATAATATTTTATTTAAGAGAATTATATTCTATTTTTAAGCACTGTGATAGTCCATTGCAACACTAGCATATAACTGTATATAAGAATGAGGAAGCACTATAAATCAACTAATCTAAAAAAAAAAAAAGAATGAGGAAACACAATATTGTAAATCAACTATACTTAAATAAAATTTTTAAAAATTAAAAAAAGGAAGGAGGTATATTACCAAACTGTAGGATATACAAAAGTCACTTTTGCAGGGAATCCCAAAGACAAAGCAATTTGTTCCTATTCGAGTATGTCAAGTGAATATAGCTATATGGTTAGGTCTTTGAAGGAATAACCATATTTTAAATTCTTCAAATCAGTTCACTATTGCCCCAAATAAAAATTTTTCCTCTGTACTACAATATAAACAAATTAATTACAAATACACACAATGCATTATTTGGTCCAAATTAGGGGCGTGGTGGGGAGGGGAATCAGAAAGTGATGTTTCGAATTCCCTTCTATTAAACATAACCTGTGAACACCTACCAAACAAAAGTGAACTTTGGTGAAAGAAAAACTTTACATTTGAAATAATTTGCCTTGTATTATCTGAAGATTTAGGCGACAGAATAATACTGTAGGGTACAAACAACCCTCCCCCCCAAAGCATTTCTAAGGTTCATATCTCTGCAAAAGACTTACACATTAACTGCAAAAACTACACCAGATAGTTCAGTTACCTCGGAAGAGTAACATTTATAATGGAAATGGTTATGATTAAAATAGAAAGGACTTGCATAAACTTGCCTTCTTGGTCTAATGACTAATTTTACTATAAAATATAATAAATTCAGAGGTCCTAAAGCTCTAGGAAAATTCCCAATGAAGACTTAAGGTTTACATAAATGTATTTCGTACTTGTGTGTAAAGTAACAAATTCTGACCCTGACAGCCACAAATCAATCTCTCTATAATATTTTCATATAATGCATATAATAATGTAATCATTATATATGTCTACTCACAAAATACTGTTGTGATTTAAAAATATATATATATTTTTACTTTGATACAGCCTGTTCAATAAAATTTAAAGGAAAAAAATTGAACATTATGGTTCCATCAGCCTCAGCAAATGTGATGATTAATGAAGTAATTATAAATCTATTTCAGGCTTCAAAGATATAAAACACAGTTGCCCTAATCCCATTTTGGTCTAGTTTCTTTGTTAAAAAAAACATTCAGATACTAGAAAGTCAGATTAAAATATATTCTTTAGTATTCTCTCAAATGTTGTCCATTAAAACTTTCTTCCCACCTTGTGAGTTATTTTCTCATTTACTAAAACAATTACAGGAAAACGACTGCCCTTTCCTAAATTTCCCCCTTCTGATGACATAAACAGATAGTCAATTTCATATTTTATTTTCTCACAAAGTATCTTACCTAGCCCTGCCTATTTATTTTACCATTTTTGGAGGGTTTCAATTAACCACTTCTCATAGAAGATGCACCTCATAAACATAAAAATTTAACTTACTAGTAAATTTCTAGAAAAACACAGGAAGAAGTAAAACTTTCTGGCAGGTTAAATAAAGCCCAAGGCACAAAGCTTAAATTTTAATATATAATCTGTGTAACTAGGGTTCTAAATTAGGGAATTTAATCCTTGAAGATCTTAAAAGAGCAAAATAAAATTACATGTAACATTGATACAAACCACAATCAAAAGTACCAAGTGTTGACTTATGAGTATAAACGTTCTATAGAACTTCAACTTTTAAATAGGTGTCCCCCCCCCTCCAGTATTTGCCAATAGTACTGGAGTACTGAATTAAATCTCAAGATCCTAGTAGTAACTACAAAATTATATGCTAGGTAAACCTAAGATTCAGCCTGTTTTTTGACTAAAAGAGATGGAGCTGATGTCGGTGCTAACAAAGGATTATATTACACTTTGTTAAATGCCAGCCATTATGCCAAATACTAGTAGGGAAGAGATTAAAACTGATGCCAAAAGAAGAAATTTCACTGTAATGTAAAGACCACTAGAAGTCAATCCCACCAACATCAAGGAGTAAAATTAAGCTGCACCATATGGCAGAGAACGCAAAGTATTTAGATTCAGCCCTGGGTCTGAGTTGGTTTTCCCATAAAAAAAACCGGCACAGGCCGTTACTTTTGTTTTTTGGAAGTAAACTATTATTTACTTTCTAAGGTTGGGAAAAGCTATTTAAAACGTAAAATAACGCTATGATAGAACGTCTCTTCCCTATTTGTGTCACAAACCCCTTTGAGAATATGACTGAAGTTATAGTCCTCCCCAGAAGAAAACCCTCAACTTTGTGTATACAATTTTAGAGGCCTGCGGATCCCTAAGAATCGATTAATGCATTGAGGGCAACTTTGAAGATTTGAAACCCATCCACCAGAGAGGATGCGTTAAATTTTTTTTTTTCCAATTATGCGTTTAACGTGTACTGACGTCTTTCATCAACGGTTATCAACTTCAAGTCGTCAGGAGAGAAGTTATACTGGGAAATCCTTTGTTCAGGATAAACTGTGAGGATGACTGTGATAAGTGGAATAGAATATGTTAAACATTGAGACTCTAGAAAGAACTGTTACCTCCAAACAACAGTTGTTTAAGCCGTAATACCACTCTCTCCAGTATCCATGGCATTCTGGAGACTTGGCCAGGTCTATCACTGCATTGTTGGAAGAAATGCTAACCACTGGTTCTTTGGTACTCAATTTATTCTCTGGAGCAAATTGCAAAAAGAAGGAATAATAAACTAAGTCTTGGGTAGAGAAGGACAATTTGTACCAGAGGGGGTTCACTTCCCCTTGAAGACTTTGAGGCAGGATCCAAGGCACTTGAATGAGCAGAGTCAGGGATTCTTCATCCTGCCTACACTGCAAAGGCGGACACAAAGCTTCCCCGCGGTCGGTCTCGCAACCACCCATCGCTCGATCAGCCAGCTCCCTGCCGGTGCCTTCCCGGGCCTCGCGCGCCTCCACGCCGAGCGTCGGGCGCACGCTCGCGCTCCCTACAGAAAGGCCCGCGTCAAGGACCCCGCAGGAAGTACTAAGAGCGCCTCCGCCACGGTCCCCAGGTGAGTTCCCGGCTCCGGGAGGCGGCTCCTCCCCGGTCCCTGGGGTTGATATCTCTTGTCCGCCGAAATCCCGCTCCTCGGATTCTGCGACGCGCTCCTCCCCGGCGGCGTCCGGAGTGGTGATCCCGGCGTCTGCAGCCCGGGTTCGGCTGGGACCTGAGCTTGCGTCCCCAGCACAAACCCCCGCCGGGCCCGCCTCCACGGGGCGAGCGGAAGCGCAGGCCGCGCCGTCAGTTCCTGGCGGATCGGCTGCCCCTTCCGGGGACGCGGCGGGCTCCGGGCGCGAGGCAGTCGGCGCCACGGGAAGCGTGACCACCAGCTGCCGCCGCGCCTTGTTGAACTGTGCCTTGCCGCGGCTGTCATCTACCGGGTACGGGAGCGAGAGTCGCAGCCGGTAGTCGGGCTTCCTTGAATCAAGGCATAGCAGCTTCCCCGTCACCTCCAGCGCCGCCTGCTCGGCCGATCGCAGCAACGGCAGCTCGATGGTAACCACCAGCTCTTGGGGCACGGTGCCGGGCGCCGAGTCTCGGGAGCAGCGGTAGTCCTGGAGGTCCACGTGGTGGCGCTGCACCACGCTGTAGCGAGGCTCGGTGGGGGCGGGCTGCCGGACCGCCTCCGGAGGGGAGGGCGCCTGGGGCCGGGGGACCGCAGCGCTCACGCCGGCCGCCGGGTATCGGTAGGGGTAGGGGAAATCGGGGAGAGGGCTCTCCGGCTCCCCCTCGGGTCGGGCCGGCGCGCCTCCGGGCAGGGGTGTGCGCAGCACGGCGGCATCCGGAGTCCCCTTATACTTGATCTTCAGGGTCTTGGCGTTCCTCCGGTCCAACTTCACGCCGAACTGCTTCTCCACGGCCTCCAGGGCCGTGGCGTCCAGCATCTGGCGGAAGCGCTCGTGGCGCTGGGCCAGCGCGATCGCGTCTGGGTGGAAGACCACGTCGTAGACGGTGTAGCGGCTGCCGCGCCCCCCCGCGTACTCACGGCCGGGAGCCAGGCTGTAGGGCAGGGACCACTGGCTGCCGGACACCGCGCCCCCAGAGCCGGGCTGGCTGCTGGGCGCGCCCACCAGCGCGTTGCTGCACACGTTCACGAAGCAGCGCCGGGTGCCGTCCAGGCTGGTGCGCAATACGTGGCCCGGCTCCGGGTGCACGAACCGCACCTCCACTCCGCGCTCACGCTCTAGCGCCGTGATCTCCTCTTCGTAGCGCCGCCGGTTCTCAGGGTCTGTGAGCTCCTCGGCGTACTCGGAGAACATTCGCCGGAACTCCGGGTCCTGGAAGGCGGAGGTGAGCCGCTGGACCTCCTCTCCACTCAGATCCAAGTCTTCTAGAGGCGAAGAGGCTGCCGCCTTGGCCATGCTGCCCTTCGGCTCCTTGTGTGGAGGCCAAGGGAGATGTATGTATCTGAGACCTAGTGGGTGGGACGCGCGGTGAAATCACTAGTCTGCGGAGAGTGAGGCGGCGGAGGTCAGTAACCGCTTCAGAATTGAGCCTGGGCGGCGCGTGCTCGTTGCCATAGTGACACCACTAACACCCAGGAGGAGGGGCAGGAACAGGGATGATGGAAATGACAGAAATAGCCTTAGTTTCTTCAGACCAACATCCTACGTTGTTAAGATTCCTGTGCCATCGTACAGTTACCTTTGCAGAATAAGCACCTTAATAACTAATTCCCAGCATTATGTACGTTATTCGTTGTTAAGAACCCTTCAAGGTAGACCTGATCCTCAATTCACAGATGAGGTGAGACCTGGAAAGTTACCTCACCAAAGTCACACAGTCGATGCACCACCCAGCAGTCACAAACTGATTCTACCGTAAGTTTTTCTGCTTTATTCACTTCGCTAAACCAACATTTCAGTCGTCTAGATAGTTCACCAATTTACCCTATTTACAACTCTCATTTGGTGTGAGAGTTATGCGCAGGTTATTCATAAATAACCAATCATCAGTAAACAAGACTTTGTGGTCTTATATCTGCATTTTTATTATTAACAAAGTCATGTTTACTGATGATTGGTTAAAGGCTTTCTTTACAAAAACAATTACTCTATTTCCTTGGGGTGGTAGAATTTATATTAAAATTTTTCTAAAAAGTAGTTTGGTACCTATGTCAAAAGCCTTTAGAATGTGCATACTTTTTTTAATGCAGAAATTCCAATTCTGAGATCATACTCAAGGCACTATTATGATTCTAAAGGTTTGGGAAGAATCTAAGAATTCAACAGCGGAACTGGTTGAGCAGATTTGGGTAGAGCCATACAATGGGATTCTAAGCAGCCATTCAAATTGATATTATAGAAGAATATTTATTGACTGAGGTAGTTATTAATTGCTGCTGCTACTGCTGAGTCGCTTCAATCGTGTCCAACTTTGTGCGACCCCATAGACGGCAGCCCACCAGGCTCCCCCATCCCTGGGATTCTCCAGGCAAGAACGCTGGAGTGGGTTGCCATTTCCAAGTTATTAATTGGTAGTTGTTAAATTCAGTGGTCATTTTTCTGTCCTCGTTTTGACAGCCTCAGCAACATTTAACATAATGTTGGCATTACCTCAATGACAAGACACTATCCAGGTTTTCCTCCTACCTCATCAGATACAGGTCCTATGGTTTCCCCACACAGAGACCAAGTGTTGGCTTTTTCCACAGCACAGAAATCTCAGCCCACTCCCCTCCTGTGTGATCTACCTGGCCTCTTAAGGCATAATGTCACATGAAAGTGCTTTAGACCCAGATTTCTGAGGTAAGGTCAGCCATGCTGATTAACCACCAAGTGGGGGAGCGCACCACCTGTTGTTCCTCAGCAGTATTAGCTCTGGGTACTCCTGCCGTACTGTTCGTCTGCTACCCCATTTTTCGGATCTATGCTTCCTTTTAATTTCCAGACAATGTCCACCACTAACTGGTTCTAATTCCTGTCTTATTCTAATAATTATAATTCTGCTAATTATAATTCTAATAATTATAATTAACTGCTCTGCTTTGACTTTCTTCACCTTGCTAACCCCTAAATGCACCCTGTATTTCTAGGCATTAAATGTGTTCCTAAAGAAATCTTTCATGTTTAGCTCTATGGTTCTTGAAACTAGACCAACAATCTGGCAGTGTCTATTTCAGTACCACTTTCAAGGCCTAGATTGTAAATTTTTCCAAGTAATCTAGTAGCTTTGGGAATTATGACTTGATTTCACTTTTAATCAAAATTTCCAGGCTATTCTTGAGATTAAAGCTCAATTTTGCTCTTTTAACATCAGGTCTTTTCTAATATTTTGAAAATTTACATCCTCAAACCATATCTCAAATTGCCACTTTATCCTTAACCACAATTCTCAATATCACAATATTCAGATTAAATTTCTTGAGGAATTTCCTTCAGTGTCATTTTAGTTTTTTTATTAGTATCTCTTCCCCCAAAAGCTAAGTTTCTTTGAAAGAAGGGTATTCCATTCCAAGTTGTCTATAATATTAAGATTATTCCTACATTTGAAACACTCTTTGTACCTTTAACAGTGTCCTAACACTCAGATTCATTTCTGGGCTTTCATTGTAGTTCCCGCCATAAACTAAAAGATAAGGGGATGGTGTTGGTGTTATGCCCAAAATAGAAAAACAGGGCTGCTTCAAAGTGAATATTACTCCTCTTAAAGGTAAAAACTGTGGGGACAATGTTTTTAAATTTTCAGTGCCAAAAGGTAATGTAATGAATATCTCAGTAATATCCCGAAACAATGGTTTTCACTATCATTAGAATAAATTCTATGACTTGAAATTTAAACAATTTGAAATTATTAAATACGCCAGTAAGACTCTTATGGTGAACAATTAGCATGTGAATTGTTCAGTCGCTCCCACGCCAGGCTCCCCTCACCTTCACTACCTCCTGGAGTTTGCTCAAATTCATATCCAAGCATATAACTAGTATAGGAATAATGAAATTTAAATTTTTATATACAAATGTATACTTAGATTATGTATTTTTACACATTTTCATATTTTCCTTACAATTATACAGAAAATATTTTTCCTATGAAACTTTGTAAAGTATACCATTATGTTTATAAAAAAATTTATAAATAGAAATTTAAACAAGACATTCTAAAGTTTACCATAATTTTATTATAATTTAATAACAAAATTATATAAAATAAGCAGATAATTGATGAATTCTGTTTCTTCAGATGGTCTAAGAATCTCAAAACCCTTGAAGTTTGCTGAAAATAGAAAATAATCATAAAATTAAACATCTTGGAAAGCTAAGTTACACATTTTTTAATATCTAGTTTTAATTTAAAAAAATAGGTCAATACATGCACATTGCTCCAAATTCCAAAGGGGACACAGTGGAAAATAAGTTTGTCTCACTCTATTTCTGTTCTCTAGAAGCAACAGTTATATCGTTACAAAGACTGTCTAATCATATATAAAGGACTGTCCAATCGCATATAAGCATGTGTAGGGATAAATGCTTTAAAAACACAAACACAAGTGGTAGAATACATGAACACTATTCTATGCCTTTTTTTCAATTAGTAATAAATACACAATATATTTATAATTTTAACTAATCCTTTATGGCTTTGAAATCAATGTAAATTAGAAAAGTCAGAATATAACTTTTAGATAGGTATATATTTAAACTATTTGCTTTGCTGTTATAAAAACTACAGTAAAAACAGCTGTACCCACTTTTATGCATAAACCCAAGTATACCTGTAGGATAAATTCCAGGAAATGAAATAGATGGTATATGCAGTTGAGGTCTTAAGAAATCTTGTTCAGTTGCCCTCTGTAGAGGTTTTTTGTTTGTTTGTTTGTTTTTTACCATTTTTATTCTGACCAACTATTGTGTGAGAGTGGGTGTTTCTCTTGTACATCACTAACATTATGTTTTTAAATAAAACAACTACATTTGAAAGCACATGTTGAAACAGGGTTAACCTCAGTCCACTTTGGCTACATTTCTGTGTTAACTCTTAAAATATGATTTCACAAATATTCTAAGAAAAAAATTATTTTTAGAAGAAACTAAGTATTATGTATAAATATGTTATTTCACTAAATTAGTTATTTCACAAAATTATTTCACTGTATCATAAAAATTTTTTCTCTCTCAAAAAAAAAGGAAAAAGCATACATCAACTTGTTTGATCTAGCACTGAAAAAATTCCTCAAATTATCACTACTAAATTATAGTTTGGAAATTAGGTCAAGGGTTTTAGTATCTGACTCCACAGATGATAAATGGACCAACTATGTCAACAACAGTCAATATCAATTGCAAGTCAAGGCCTGTGCTAGAAACTTTAAGAGGAACTGGCACATAAGTGACTTCTCATTCAGCATGTTAAGAACTGTCATTGAAGTCTGTATACAGTACTTAAAACACTAAACAATTCTGCATGTCATTCAGGAAATGTTGTAAGATTTAACTGAAGTGTCCTGTGCCATCATAATTAATAAATCAGTTAAATCCTATTGTGGTTTTTCTACCTCTAGAATATTAAATGGTTTGCTAAGATAGATATAATAAAAGGATAAAAGTTAAGGAAAGAAGGACACTCAGGTAAGAGAAAAATACAGATAATAAAAGATGAGGCCAGAGCCACAGCCAACATTTATGCTAGTAATTCCTGCTGCTGTAGAGGTGGACGGAACATTTGGCTGTGCTCCTGGCAGCTAAAGCAAAGGGAGTCTATCAGATTTACAGTTTTCCCAAGATGGAAATGAACAGTTGCTTGGGACAGGCACAGATTTATTTTGTTCTGAGACCTGTTGAAAGTGCTCACTATTGGTTTTCATAGCAGAATAAGTTTCATATGTCTGTTAATTTACAACAAAACTCAGTCCAGTAAAAGTCAATCTAAAGGTGGACAAAACGGAATTCCCTGGTGGTCCAGTGGTTAGGACTCTGCACGTTCTCTGACGAGGTCATGGGTTTGATCTCTGGTTTGGGAACTAAGATCCTGAAATCTGGCATGGTGCAGCCAAAGACTATTTTGAAAGATGGACGAAATATGCTTCAGAGGTAGCTTAACCCTGGGGTCACAAAATGACTGTCAACAACAGGGAGTAGTTAAGACAGGATAAGAGTGTTTGCCCTTACCTAAAGGCATTCCAAATTAAAAAAATAATTTTCTTAAAGGATTCATTGTTAACTAAAGTCAAACACATGTTCAGTTTATGGAAAAGAGGCTAGAATATCAGTGACTTTTATGAGTATCTGCCTGGTTATACTCCGAAAACTAAGCAGTGCCTGGAATACAGTAAGAATCAAATACATGTCAAATGAGTGAATCCAATAATAAAATTTAGTATGTCCCAAAATGAACAGACTTTAATCTTCCGTGAATACTGAGCAGCAAAAATAATGCAAACAATATTTTTCAAGAAATATATATGAGAAACTATTAATCATGATTTCAGGGTTACGAAGTAAATGTATGTTTTCTTTATTTTATACTTTTAAGCATTGTTTGAAATTTTTATCATGTATTTGTGCTTTTATTTAAATAAATTTGTTAATTACAAAAAGTAAAAAAAGGTTGAGTGTCAAGATTATATTCTTTAACGAGAACCTGGAGGTATTTGGTTACTGTTCTAAACTGGTGGGAAACAAAATACAATTAATGGAGAAATCACATGTTAGGATGCCTGCATCTAAGGGAAACTGTTAAAAATGC